AGAGAGAGAGAGAGAGAGAGAGAGAGAGAGAGAGAGAGAGAGAGAGAGAGAGAGAGAGAGAGAGAGAGAGAGAGAGAGAGGCGTTGACCAAGGCGTTGACCAAGGCGCTGACCAAGGCGTTGACAGGAGCTGTTGACCACGAAATTGACGAAGCTGGAGTTGGTATACTCTCGCCAAGCCTTCAGCCTATTCCCTCGCCCTATGGATGTGCACTCACCCCATGGTACTTGCTGAGTCTGTCTGTCTTTTCTTTTTGCATTGAGTCTCTTCTGTCCAGGTGATAGGAACTCTGTGTATGAGGTCGTAGAGGTTTGTTGACCAAACCCACACGGGCTGAGTAGGGCTAAAGGTCGTGTCTGACGACTGACTGACCCGGAGGACAAACCCTCCCAAGGACCGGTACAGACCGGCGGGCTGTTCAATGTGGCATGGTAGGCCCAAAATCCGAGTTGTGGGCTGCACAACAAGCTGTCTAAGTCTAAAGAGGACTTGCTGATCGTGTCGTCCTGTCTGCGACGTTAAATAATTCCTGAGGAGTTACGGGGGATCTCCTTAAATGCCTCCTGATCAGCATTGAGTCCTGTAGTGACAGCTGTAGTATTAGGTCCAGGCTAGTGACCATAGTTGACAGGGTCCTATACGGATCCTGTGGTCCTTAGACAGTCAGTCAGTCCAGTGGGTAGGTCTAAGTGGTGAGGAGTGGGCTAGTCATTGCCGTGCACCTGACACCATGGATGACTACCCTATGTACGGTCTGCTTGTTCTGGGACACCTTCACGTGTAGGGTGGAGACCAGGGGTGGTGCTAGTACCCCTCCCTACACTAAGGAGCAGGAGGAGGAGGCTGCGAGGATCTTGGCCGAACAGAAGGCTAAGAAGGAGAAGAAGGAGGTAGTTTGCAGGAGCAGGCCGCGAAAAGGAAGAAGTTGGAGGAGGAGTTCGAAAGGGTGAAAAAGGAGGAGGAAGAAAAGTTGAAAGCAGTGGAGGAAGAAGAAGAAGAAGAAGAGAAAAAGGTGGAAGAAGAAGTGCCCTTAATTAGAAGAAGTATCAGGGGGGAGTCGAGTGGCACAAAGAAGGAAGATCCCTGGCTAGAGAAGAAGGTTTCTGAATGGGTTGCCAATCTGTCCCTGGGAGAAGAGGAGGAGGCGATGTTTTATGTCCCCAGGGAAGAATAGGAGGTGATCATTAAGGACTTCGAAGTCGAAGAGGATCCCCTCAAACCTCAGACGATCGAAGAAGAGAAGAAGCTAGAATGGAAGTTGTATCTGACCAGGGAAAAGAAGAAGAGAATGGAGGAGACGAGTAAGACGGCCAACGAGTTAGAGGCAGTGGAGCAAAGAGGACAAATGGAGGCGCACGCCGATGTTTTAGGGAAGATGGAAGTGATGGCGCGACACATAGAGCTCTTGGCAAGGGCTCAGGAGGAGCAATATCAATTTGCCACTAGTCAGGATGTAACTTTGCGGTCCATCAGATTGGGGTTTAGAGAGTTCGCACACGAAATGATGATGCACGTGGGCTCAAAGGTGAAGGCAAGGTTAGAGAATACGGAGTGATTCTGTACCAGCGCTATAGAAGGCGCAAAACTTGCTGCTCCAAGGGAGGAGGATGTTCTTCCCCGTAGAGAGTCTGTTAAGGTGAAGTTTCTTGATTCCTACGGTGGGAAGAAGGAGGAGAACTTCGATAACTGGGAGGCAAACGTGAACTTTTACGTTCACCTTCAGAAGATAGCCCCTGAGGAACATGTCCTCATTGCCTTCCATGCCCTTAAAGATGAAGCAGCTAGCTTTGCTAGGTCGCTTTGCCGTGTTGATAAGTGCGAGAACGATATGGTCACATATTCCCTTATCACCCCTCTGAGTGACCTTTTTAAGTTGCTGCGTGAGAGGTTTGCAAATGTCACGCAAAGTGTTAGAGCTTCAGACAAACTGCAAACCATCCATTCCAGCGAATGGAGGAGTGCTAGAGCACTCAAGGGCGTCATGGATGAATTGGTCGTCGTTCCTGACCATGGAGTAATTGAAACACAGTTGGTCAACCTGTTTTATCGTGCCATGCCGGAACCTTTGCGCGGGCACTTCTTCAAGAAGAGTAGGGAGTCTACCGTGAACTACGATACTCTGAGTAGGGAAGTCGTAGCATTTGAAGCACGGTCCATGTTGGTTTCCACTTTCTGGCATAAAGACCTTGATAAGGGTAAAAAGTGGAAAGGCCGTACCATCTCGGGTCAAGTTAAGGGCAAAGATCACCTGATCCTTACATTAGATGAGGGACCTGATCCTTACATTAGATGAGGATGGTATGGAGCAGGTCCCTTACAGCCAGATAGAGTGGGGCCTGGAGGAGGAGGATGACAGTGGCGATAATCAGGGGAGGACTTACGCTGTTGTCGCTGTTGGAGGGAGGCCGCAAGGTAGAGGAGGAGGCCGGGGCCAAGGGGGCAAGGCTTCCGGTGGTCGAGGACAGAGTGATCAGGGGGTTGGTTGCAGAGGAGGCCGCCAAGCGGGGGGTAGGGGTCATGGTCCCCCGCAAAACCGCTCTCGTTTTACTCGGTCACCTCCCA